CCTATCCAGTATCACGGTCTTTCTGCTGGGATGTGGCACCCCTCTCGGTCTAACTTGGCCCTGACAGGCAAGATCAAAGGATGGCATTTGAAAACAGACGGGTACAGTCTAGATAATAATATAAAGAAATGCCGATAGCACAGAGCGACGTCGAAGCCTATATTATTATCTGAATTGTGTCCCTTTGACTGAAGTTGTCTTCAGGCCATTCCCAAAGGGGGGATATTAACATGTGCTTATGCACAGTAAAATTGTAAATGGGTTGATTTATCAATGTCATTCTCATGCTGTCCCGGAACAACATAGTGGGAACTGCTGCGTTTTCTTTCCTGATCCTTGCTTTAGTCATTTTCCTCTACTCCTTTTGTATATTTGTCACTCTCTTGTGAACTGCTAATACCGGGGGCCTAGATAGTTGAAGCAGACCTTTGTGCTGTTAAGGCTAGAGAGGTGAGCAGAGTAAGCCTGATTCTCCGTTTGGACGTCTGTGTTGAAATCCACCCCTTGGCACTCATACGACCTTATGCAGTTCCGAGCGCCGTAAAACCTTACTAAACACAACACAAGGGTACAAAAATGCATACATTATTGATCTATTTGTTTGTTCCATGAACAATTTGTCCTGTTGTATCTCGGAGTCGCAAAACCTTACTAAAACATAAAACAAAGGTGCACAAATGCATACATTATTTAACTATTTGTTTGTTCAATGATTCATTTGTTGTGTGGAATCTCGGACTCTGTAGACCACGACGTGAGCTCGTTCACCGCGGGGGAGATGAGCATGACGCTGTACCATCTGATGAGCACGCTGGACGACCAGGGCTGGGACGACTACCTCAACATCTTGGACAACTTCGACTACATCCCGGCCAACAACATGAGGGAGATGCTCACGATGTGGCCACCCAAGATGCAGCTGCTTCAAACAGTACGTGGCTTTCGTCTCTTTTTCCTACATATTATTCACGTTAACTTTTGCTGTACCTCCCCACCTCAGACCCCCACCCCCCACCTCCCTAAAGAAAAGAAAAGAAAAGACAAAAAATCGCCCTCCCCTCTTAGGTCTCCTAAATACTGTAAACTGCGTGCTTTTGGGACACAACACATTTACAAGTACAGCTATTTTCCTTTTATTTATTTATTTATTTATTTATTTATTTATTTA